CACCTCCCACTCTCCAGCCCTGCGAGATAAACCGGCTCGGCGGGGGAAATACAGGAAAGCCAGCACTCGAGGAAAGCTCGTTAATCCTTACAGCACTGTCAATAAGCAATAAAATCCAGGCTGTGGCCCCCCGTAGCCTGCACCAAGCTCTCTGCACCAGGGGAACGGGCGTGGAAAGGCGAGCTTTGCCTTCCCTGGGTGCGAGCGCGCAGCCGCAGCCGCTTGGACCTGCCGGGAGCCGCTTTTCTGTCCAGTCATGAGCACGAAAATCAGCTGCCATCCACCCCCCCCTCCACCCCGTTACGCAGCGGCGAGAAGACTTCAGCGCAGAGCATCCCTCCGGGGCTTGACACATGAACAGCTCCAATTCAGCTTGAGCTGGTGTTGATTTTTTATGTGTATATATATATATATTTAATCCCCGTAACTCGCTACCGGCACGTTTTCCTGCTATCTAGGAGGTGACATCTCAAGTCACTTTTTGGAAGAGACTAGCTGGCAAAGGCAGGCTGAAAACAAAACGTGTGCCTGCCTCCTCTCGCTTTCCCAAGCCGAGGGGTTTGTTTTCAGTGGAAAACTGGGACGTTTTGTGAATCCCTGCCGCTTAGCCGTGTGTCTTACAGCCCTTCAGGCTTTACGGGTCTGAGGGATGGATTTGTCTAAGCTGTTATTATGCACTTCGTAATTCATCAGACTTAAGGGTATCAGCTCAGCGAGGATTTTTATTTCACGTTTATTCACTCTTTCAGCCTGTGAGTGAAAACGAGAACTATTAACAAAACCCCTCTTCAGTCCAAAGCTTCGGTAATGAAATTTGTATTGCGCACAATCAAGCCGTGACGTTGCAAATTTGACATAATCCCACGTTCGACACTCATCTACGCTTCCTCCTTGGTTCTCAAGCCTGGGGGCTTCCCTGGCTTCAACCACAACAGGTCAAAGCCTCCAGGCACTCGGAGAAGTCACCTGGCCGAAGGATGCTGCCCGTCGCTATGGAAACACACACGGGAACCCGCAATCTCGCCAAGGGGAATTTCGGCGCGGAATTTCGTTGCTAAAAATCGCTGCGAACGGTGTTCGTTCCGGAGACGGCGATATTCGGGTACGGATGGAGGGCAGCTACCCCCCAGCGTGCTCCACGCGCTTCCCAGCAGCAGAACGGTGGCAATCCTCTTCGCTCTTCCAAAACATAAATATTTCATTTGATTTTTTTTTTAATTATTATTATTTTCTTCTAGAAAACAGATTCTTCGCCTGTTTGGAGAAGGAGATGGCACCCTCTTCACTCTTCGTCAGATCCATTTAAGAAGGCGGCTTGGGAGCTCGTGTCACCCTTCTGCTGCCGGATTCCCAGGCTGATGTAGGGTTCCCCGCTGCCTCTCCTGCACCTCTGGATGCAGCTGCAACACAGGACCGATAAATCTTCGTTAGCAAAACCCCCAGATTAGTGCCGCTCACCAGGCTGCTCAGGGGAGCGACACGCACTTGTAACGCCCACGCAGAAGGGGAAAAACTACTATAAAGATCCTAAAATGCCATTTTGGGGAGGGATTGGGGGTTTTTTTATTCTGTATAAAGTCTATTTGCTTGCGTAGACTGGACTATCCCTTCTGTAGCCCGTGTCTCAGCAAGCCATGCAGCATCCCTTAGAGGCTTGTAGGCTACAGGAGCACCCCTGGAAGCAGGATAATGTCCCCTTCCTGTCCCCTTGGACAAGCCATGCCGGGGGCTGGCGATGCTTTAGCCATCAGACAGCGCTGTCGTACCTGTCGTAATTCAGCGACCGTCAGCCGCGTTGAAATCCTTGCAAGGGAGGGGACAAAGTGTCAGGGGGCCCTGGCAATGCTCTGATTTCTCTATCGAATTAAAGGTTGGCTTCCAGCACTCGGTGCAGAGGGGGAAAACAAAAAAAAAGCGGTGTCACTTCCAGGAGCTGCTTCAGGGGGTGGGTAATTTGACTTCTGCATATTCAACGCCCATGCCTCTTGCTGACACTCTTTTGCATTCTGTGCAAATAATGTGCCCGCTTGTCACCGTGCCCTAAGACTTGCAGCGGTCAGGGGCTGCTTATTCAGCTGTGACTTTGTACACCGGGATCGGCTGGAGTACCTCTGCATCTCACTC